TTTTGAGAGGGGGTGGGGGGAGTCCTGTATGTTAATCATTTGCTTGAGTGCCAGCCACTCCCCCACCCTCAGCTTCTCAATGCCGATCACGTGGCACATGCACTATTTTTAAATCTGCAGTCCCCCAAATTCGGGGTGACACCCCGGTCGTAAGGGCCCTGCAGAGAGAAGTGTCACAACAAGGGTCTTGGGGATCAGCGGCTGTGGGCTGTGCCTCTACCCCCTCGAAGAATGGTGGATGGATGCGAAAGACACAGTGAACTGGCTCGCTCACAGGGGAGGGAGGGATGAGGAGGTGGGGATTCTGCTTCCTGGGGAGAGAGTAGCAACAAACCCAAATACAGCGCGCACAGGGCGCTGCGGAGGGGTCGAAGGTTCCAGCGCAGAGCCTGTAGCTGGTCTTCCCGTCAGGCCGTCTGGCTGAGAGGTTCAGTGGCCCAGCAATAGTGGTTTGCCTATTACACCCTACCTGTGGTCTCCCCCGCCCCTCCCACCGTGCAACTTAAAAGCCACATCCTAGCAGTATCAGAGGGGAGCGTCTATGCCGGAGTCCCCAGCATCATTCTCTGTTGACCTGGGAGTGGCACGGTAGCGCTCCAAATATGCTCTCTTGCTCTTCAGAAACTGAGTCTGGAAGGGCGAGGGTAAGCAGGTCTGGAAATAGAGCTTCCATGGCCAGGCTTGCCTATGAAAATAAACACTTGCCTTTGACAAAGAGACTTAAAATCTTGGTGCCTTCTGGTTTAAACAATTCCTAGGCTCCTTAGCTGGAGATCTGGGGAGCTGACTCAGGGGTCCGTGAAGGTCCCTGTTTATGTACTCCGAAATGGGAAACTTTCTTATGAGAAATGTTTGGTGAAAAAAAAAAAAACCTCACTTCTTTTTCAGCTTGTCCAAGAGTTCAACACACAAGTGGCCCTGTACCGAGAGCTGGTCATTTCTATTGGGGATGTCTCGGTCAGCTGCCCCTCACTCCGGGCGGAAATGCACAAGACAAGAACCAAAGGCTGTGAAATGGCCCGTCAGGCACACCAAAAACTGGCTGCCATCTCAGGGTAGGAGACTCGGCATTATTTGGTAATTCATATACATGATGCATGGATGCTGACAGAATTTTATGGTGGCCAAGTCCTCAGAGATGATCTCCACATATTTGAGATTTTAACCTTGAGATCGAAATTCTCTAGAGAGCTATACACAAACTATAGGCCAAGCTATAATTTGAAGGCTGAGTGATTCTTGTATATATGTATATATATTTAGAAGATATGGATCAAGTGATTTGTTTAAAACTTAATTTTCAATATGCTGGCCACATACTGGAATTTGGAGCATAAGATTTGGGGTGGATGGTTGGGTATCAAACTGAAGTTAAATCATCATGCCTCAAGATTATTTTGTCATCTGCTACTGAACAAACGGCCTGTGCTGTAGAGAAAAAAATCTTTACTAAATCCCAGATTTACTAAACTATTTATACCATGAGATAAATTCCTATGATACCGCCTAAAATAAAATCCCTAAAATAAGGTCTTGGATATAAATTACTCTCTTCACTGTGGTGATATGAAGGGGTAAGTTTTAGCAAAAGAACAGTTTTTAAAGATTAGGGAAATTCACAAATCTCAGTAAACCTAAGCTGACATTGTACCCCAAATTTTTATTTATTTTCATCAGATTTATGGTTTTTCAAGCCTGAATTAGGAGATAATTCAGTATGTGAAAACTGCTCTCTTGGGACGCTACCTACCCCTTCTTTCACCTCTTAATATTGAGGAAAAAAGTTAGCCATGGCTTTTGTTAACAGTTCCTATTTTCAAGATAAGTACTTAGAGCAAAGAAACACAGGAATCCTTATACAAATACATTGATACATTAATTTAAGTGCTTGATTCAGTCTGAAGATAGCCTTTATCTATTTATCTATGTGAGTATAACTTCATCAGAGTAGAAGTTCACATCAGTTGCTCACCTGATAATGTTACAAATTGATCACCTGTAGGAATTATATCTAATTTACCTATTTGAAAGAATCACTCTTTGCCATCTTTAATTCCAATAATATGTATAGTGACTATTATATGTTGCCTCTCTTAATAATTAGTTTACATTTGACCACAGGCATTTTATATCATGAAAAATGATACACTATAATCATCTCCTTGAAGAGAGGGATAAACAAAATATGTTATAACCCTATTTTTTTTGGTAAAAATATTGAGAGGTTATCCTTTCCTGTTTTAACTCTTATACTGTTCTTAACAAGAAGTAAATCTGTAAAAGTCTGAACCACTTAATTCTCCAAAAAGGAGGGGGAATTAAGTGGTTCAGGAGTTTGGGGAAGAAATGTAACTGTGATAAATCCCAGACAAGGAGAGAGAGAGGGGGAAAAATCAGAAATGTGAAGGAACACTGGTAAATTTAAAGGTACAGAGAAACAATAATTCAGAAGGAAAAGCAGATTTAGGACAGGAAATTCTCTCTCAAGGCTAAGGAGTCGCATCTCTGTAAACCTTACGTCCTGCAGTATAGGTTGGGATTGCATTTAGAATCCCTTTGAGTTGGGACTCAAAATGAGAACATGTTCTAATCAGAGAAGGTGGGCTAGAGAAATGAACAAGGAATTTGATTCAGTCTATTTTGCTACACACACGAAATTCAAGGTCTTCTAAAGGTTCAGGAAAGAAAGGGTCTGAAACTATTGGCTAAAAGTTGAGTTTGGAGGATTTCCAGTGGATTTTTTTTTTCTTTGAGAGGTGTGCTAGCTCTGTTACCCTGTCTGGTCTTAAACCCTTGTACTCAAGCAATCCGCCTGCCTCAGCCTCCAGAGTAGCTGGGACTACGAGAATGCACCATGGCACCTGGCTTGAGGTGGATGTTATTTACTCTGGTGTTTTTAGCTCTTTGCTACTTGCTTACATGTTATCTAAGGGTTGATGTTAATGGGGGCAGTTGTATAAGAATTAGTGGGAAAATAAGGTGTTACTAGATCCTTGCGAAAGGAAAGCCGACTCCATAAAATATTCTAGGATAGAATTTGACACCTTTCCTTCCTTACAATAATAATTAAATGCAATTTAACATTCTTTATAAAAAATGACAGCAATATAATTGAAGGAAATCCCTTTAGTTCCTCACCATCTGGGCTCCATTAATGAAGGATGTGATTCCCTTTGGCGGAATCCGTTTCTGATATGGCTTGTTATGTGGGCTCTTGTTTCAAGCTTGATGTGAAGGCTGGGAGGGAGGCTGTAGGAGTCACTTTAAAGTTTGAAGCAGGGATGAGAAAAGCAAAGGTTTTTGGCAAAATTTAGAGAGAACTGGATTTCTTGGGCGCCCACTATTTGTCATCACAATCCAGCTATTTCCTTTCAGCCGAGGGAGGGATTATTATTCTTCTTCTACAAATAGGTTTAGAGAGATTGAGGAACTTGCCCAAAGTCACACAGCTAAGAAGTGACACGACTTTGATTCTACCCCATGTTTGCGTGCTTCTGATACTCATGCTTTTTCCTCTATATAATGCTGCCATTCAAAAGGTGTTATGTATAAAGGATACATGTTAAAATATGAATGAACCTTAAAAAGAGTATGCTAACTGAAAGAAGCCAGTTAAAAAATACCACGTATCATATGATTCTGTTCATGTGAAATGCCCAGAAAAAACAAATCTATAGAGATAGAAAGTAGATTCGTGGTTACCTAGGACTGGAGGTGAGAGCAGGTAGAGACTACAGATGAGCTTGAGGAATCTTTTTGGGATGACGGAAATGTTCCAGAATTAGACTGTGGTGATGGTTGTACAACACTGCATATTTACTAAAAGTCATTGCATTGTACACTAATGAGGAGTGAATTGTATGGCATATAAAGTATAACTCAATAATTGTTTTTTTAGAAAGGTATTATCACCATCACCATGATTAACACTTGTTTTTTTTTTTTTGTCTACTTTATTATTTTCTGCATATGAAGGTTTTAATGAAGGGGTATGAGCTATAGGGTGAGGAAAAGTCACACTTGGCTCCCCACGCATTCATCAAGACACCTGCCTCATGGCTATTGTTTAAGCACCAATGCTTTGCTCTGTGTAGGAATACATGTGTGGGAAAGGCAGGACTTGAGGGAGTAAGTGAATTTATTTATTTTCTACCAGTACAGACCCTCACTTCCTGGTCTGCCAGCTGGGTTTGGGGCCACAGAAAGTAAACAGTATTGAAGGTGGACAGGGTAAAAATACGATGAGTCAAGATAGAGAGGAAGAGGGAAAACAAGGAGTTAGCATTAAACAAGCTACTAATGCTGCATACCTTTCATGCCTGACCAACTGAAGCCCTTAAGGAATGGTGGAGCTCACAAGAGAGGAAAACAGGCTGTGTTTTTTCTAACTGGCGCTGTATCAGAAGGCCATCTTTACAAATGCAATCAACACACTTTCTCAGATTATGGTTATATCAGCAGAGTTCAGGCACAGCCTTTTTTCTTTCAAAGGCACCAGATATCTGCATTCTGGATGACCCAGTCAGAGGAATACAAAGTCTCCTCTGACTGGCTTGATTTACTAAAGTTATGATACCTTTACAACACTGATCCTCTCCCAGACATTAAAGCTAAGAGGGGCCTTAAAGATCACGAATGGGCAAGAATGGGAAAGAATGGGCCTCAAAGTTTTTAGCAGTAAATCCTCCCTTCAATCTGAATGTAGAAAGCCACATTTATAAAGATGGCCACAGTGGCATTATTCTGCACTGCTTGGGGTGTGTGTGTGTGTCCACGTGCATATAAGGAGTGGGCCAGGTCCTGCCTTTTGGACTTCCTACCCAAAGTGACTTCTGAGACACTTCAAAGAATCCCTAGGGCTCCATGGTACTTTATATTTAAGGAGTCTGAGATTCAGAGGATTTAAGTGACTTTCAAGGGAACTTGACAAAGAATACGTGAAGATTTTAGAGTCAGACAGACTGGGACTGAGTATCATCTTTTATGACCTTGATGGAATGCTTAACTCTCTGAGTCACAATTCCTTCATCTGTAAACTAGGGTCATGCCCACTCACAGGTCAGTTGAGAGAGTGAAGTGAGCTAGGTACGTGAAGCAGGGACCACATGTCCAGCCTGTCAACGGCACTGCCAGTCAGAGGCTGCTCTAAGACTGTAACCTGGGTCTCCTGTTCCCTGGTCTAGTACCTATTCCATCAACCACACCTGAGAATGAGGAGAGACAAGCACAGTACACAAGATAAGCGTGGCCCCAGGAGCCAACATCCTCCAGCGCACCTCGGGAATTACTGCTATGGCTGGGGGGCTGGTGGTCAGGATTCCCTTTCTGCTTCTGTGCTTCTGTGGTGTCTGTGTTGGACTGAATCTTTCTCACACTGCTGCTTTTGGTTAATGGCTGCTCAAGAGAATCAAAATGTAGAAGGATTTACTCCAGATCTTAAGTTTAAGTATGACAATGTGAGAGACAGTACAGTGTGATGGGAAAGAGCACTGATTCTAAATCAGATTAGACCACTTGCTAAGGACAGGTGTGAATTTGTAGGCAGATTGATTCACAGAGTGGTGAGTGGTACTCTGGTACAGTGGTTAAGTAAGTAGACTTTCGGTCCAGACTGGCAGTCTGACGGTGCTGCTATTCACATGTAGTATGAAGTCAGGCAAAGATACTGTCTCTTCCTCTCTGCCTCAGTTTCCTCAACAGCAAAATGGAGTTAATGAGTAATGGGACTGGAGTATATAGCATGGTGAGGATCAAGTACTTAGGAGACTGCAAGCATATAGTAAATGCTATTAAGCACAGGTTAGTGTTAATATGATGAGACATTTAAAAATGCAAATTGTTGAGATACATTTATATAAAAAATGTTAATCCATCAAATATCTTCCAAATAAATATTTGAACTGGAATAAATCTTTGTTTACCTTGGTTTCTTATACTCTGGGACATTTTCTAGGTTGAAGTTTCCCAGATGGCTATCAGAAAGCCTGTTCCGGGATACCATAAAAATTACATGGAGATATGAAGCTTCAAAAGTAGTTATCTTTAGAAATTTTTT